GGATCGCACATGGAGATATCCGTTACAGACTGAGCTCCACAGTTCTCTCTGCCACCTGCATTGCTTGGTTCCTTGGTGCTTGTTTGTTTTTAAGGAGTCCTGCTGGCACAGTGGGTTACATATTGGGCTGCCAGGGAGCTGGGTTGGCACCCACCCTGTGGGAGAAAGATGAAGAGCTGACTCTGCTTGTGAAGGAGTCCTGGTGGGAGGGGTCACATGTTGGGCTGCGATGAACAAAGTCGACGGTTCGAAACCACCAGGCACTCCAAAGGAGAAAGGTGGGGCTCTCTACTCCCCTAAAGAATCACAGTCCTGGAAAATCACAGGGGCAGTTCTGCCCTGTCCTATAGGGTCGCTATGAGTCGGCTTCGAGTCGGCTGGAAGGGCAGTGAGTGAGGGTCTTTAGAGGTTCACAACCTGGGAGATGCAAAAGACAGTTCTGCTCTGTGCTACAGGGTCTCGGCGAGGCAGAATCGAGTCCGCACACGGTGTTTGGTGCGGTTTGGTGGTTGTTTGTCTGGTTTGGTGGTTGTTTGTCTCGCTCGGTCTCCTCTTCCTAGTCGGACGCTTTCTTCAAATCCCTGCGACTCCTTGGCTAAGAAGGGACAGGAGTGCCTAAAATCTCAGGCTCGCTGGGCAAGGTCCGGGGGTGGCCCACCCCACTGAAGAGGAGGGCTCTGAGCCCGGGGGTACCCAGCCTGCCCATGTCAGATTCTGAGGGTCCTTTCCTGGGAGCCTCCCATCTCCTGTGTCGGATGTAGACCTCTCTGCCTGCGTTGTGGAATCAGAGCGGTCTCCAGAGGGCAAGGGCAAGGGCTCCCCAGCCTGTGCACAGACTCTCACACAGCCTCTCTCTCCTCTGCCACTCTCTGTGTCCCCACCCTCGGGCCGATGACCAGAGAGGATGCCGTAGTAACATCATAAAGAAAGGCTGGCGCCAACCGGGATAAATCCCGAGTTGATTCTGACGCACGGCCATTCCAGGTGCTAGGGAAGTCCTCCCTGTAGTTCCCTTGCCTGTCATCTTCACTGGAACAGATGCCAGGCTGATGGGTGGGATCGAACCACTCACCTTTTGATTAGCCGCTAAGCACATAAGGGTGTGCTACCTCTCCAGAGGTCTAGGGGCTCGGATTCCAGCACTCCCTCTGGGAGGATACAATCTACCCACAGCAGATGGAGGGATTGTTCTTGACTCTGAGAATGGCTTCTGATAAGAATGAGTCATATGTTCACTCCTGGTTATACTACATTGATCCTTGACATTAAATCATCCAAATTGTCCAAGATAAAAATAACGTGGCAGCCTGGCTGCTGTGCCGGTGGGATCAGGGGACTGGGGACCCCTAACGCCTCTCTGTGTAGCCTCTCAGCCAGCCAGGTTTTCAACTCCCTGGGAAGCTCCAAGTCTTGAGAGTGGGTCCTGGGACGATGGAGCCACCAGGTCTGCTCCAGAATCCCGGGTGCTGCCTTTGGGGTTGCGGTTCCCGTTGCTCTGCCAAGCCCTCTTGGTTCCCCGGTGTGCCCACCACAGACATCACCACAGCAGGTGGCTTTAACAAACAGAGGTTCACTCTCTCACAGTCTAGGAGGCCAGAAGTCCGGCTTTGGGCACCTGCTCCCTGGGAAGATGGTCTTTCTCTGTGTGGCTCTGAGGGCAGGTTCTTGCCATCGGTTGAGGGTCTTCCTCTCTGTCGCTGCCCCTCCACTTTACCAAACATGATGTCCTTCTCCAGGGACGAGTCTCTCCTGACAATATGTCCAAAGGATGTGAGATGAAGTCTTGTCCTCCTTGCCTCTAAGGAGCACTCTGGGAGTACTTCTCCCGAGACAGAGCAGTTTGTGCTTTTAGCAGTCTGTGGTGCTTGCAATATTCTTCTCCAGCACCAGAGTTCACGGGCATC